AAACATTTCTGCCAGTGGAGTAAGAACATTTTACTTGGTAAGATTCTTGAAAAAAGAAAAAATTGAGTCAAATCAAGTATTTGAAGTATTTCACACTGAACACACAGGCTTGTCTGTAAAAGCAGGAGACCCTGACAGAAACCCTCTGACTGTCCACACCATGAGAAATAAATGACTGGTTGGAAAAACCAGTTCATACAAAGCTGCACAGCTGAGCAGCCACCCCTCAGAGCAGCCCCTTAAACACATCTCAATAACTGGTGAAACTCACAAACACATCAATAACACAAACTGTTTACTCTTAAACGTGTAGAAAAACGTCTACTTTAAGACAAGTCTTAAACACATCTTACATCGATCTTCTCTGTTTTTCAGGAACCACAGGAAGACGTAGGTCACTTTGAGCTTCTCCTCTGCAAACTCCAGCAGGGCAGTGAGTCTGCAGACACACAAAGTAACAAGCTGAGGAAAACACAACTGTTGTCTTCTTTACAACCTCAACTGTGTAAAACAGAAATACAAACAATACAAGGATTTTCAACCTACATCCAACTGACAACACAACAAAGACAAGATATTTAATGTTCAAACAGATAAACTAGTGGTTTTTCCAAATATTCACTCGTTTTGAATTTGATGCAACATGTTCCTTAAAAACTGCACAGCTTCAACAAAAGAGTGGGAAAGTTGAGGACCAGTAAAAACCAGGTGTTTGGATCATTCCACAGGTGAACAGGTTCAATGGAAACAGGTGAGGGTCATGACTGGGGATACAGGAACATCCCTGAAAGGCTCAGTCGTTCACAAGCATGTATGCAGCGAGGTTCACCACTTTGTAACTTTATGTTGATGAACGTTGTTCTTAAACTGTTGGACTATTTTGTTCACAGTTGTTCACAAAGAATTCAGTGATTTCATCATCTACAGTTCTTAATATCACTAAAAGATTCAGAGAATCTGAACAAATCTCAGCAAGTAAGACTGAAAACCAACAGTGAATGTTGGTGACCTTTGACCCCTCGGACAGCCCTGCACTAAAAACCCACATTATGTTGTGTTATATTATAACATATGAGATACCATTTTCACTGAACACAGTTCATCTCTACAACTACAAGTTAAAGCTCTATCATGCAAAGCAGCTTCATAGTAAAAGTAGTGATGGAACAAACATAGTCCATGGGCTAGGGTGGCTCACCGTGCACCCCCCCCCCCCCC